GCTCAGCCGGGCCTGGGGGGAGCAAGCTGCACAAGCAGCCATTTGGGCCCCGCACTGCACCCTCATGCTGCACGGGGAGCGCAGGGCCCAAACGGCCGCTTGCACCACTGCTTGCTCCCGCGCGGCAGCTCAGCATGGGGCCTATTGAAGCACAGGGCCCAGGGCAGCCGCCCCACTTGCCCTGCTCTATATCCACCGCTGTCTATGAGAGTACATAGGGTGGAGCTGCTAAGCCATACCCAGTTCCTTCTCTTTCCCAGACTTGTGTGATAGTTGGAGCTAGTTTGTTTCCCCACATTAGTCATCAGTGCAGTCTTGCTAAGGATAGGTTTTACCTGTAAGTTGCCCCATTGAAATCAGAATATATTTTTATTTTAAACCATCATTTTAGAAAATATATTTTCAAAGTGGTGTGCGGGGGTTAATTACAAAACCCTGATTCTTCAAAGTGTTATAAAGACATTTCCGCTATTCAACTTGAAATCTAGTAAGATGGTTTATTAGGTGATGAGCTTGTTAGTAAATAAACCATCTTGTTAGTCTTTAAAGTGCTACAAAGTCCTGTTTTTTGTTTCAGTTAGACTAGACTAACATGGCTACATCTCTGTTACTTGAAATCTAGGTTTCTTTTCAAATAGTTTCATGTGTTGCACTTGTCCCTCTGCTGATTCTTGAGGTTTTACTATATTTTTTTCATATTTTATAAAATTGTTGTACACACACCCACACACGTGTGCTTTGTGAAAGAACCATATAGGCTGGTGAAATAACAGACAAAATCATTTACAAAGTGATTGTACACAATGTGCTGCCAAACGCATAAAATCAGTCAGAGCTGGGAGCACTCCCTACTGCATGGGACAAAGTCAAAGGAAATAACAGGGATAAAAAACGATAGCGAATGTTGTTTTCTCTAATCTTCTAATTTTACTTTCAACAGTAGTAGGTTAAAACAAATTGAGACAGAAATGTGATTGAATTAGCTGTATCCTTTTATTTTTGTTGATTACCATACATAAAATCCCATGAAAATCAAAGTATAAAATGTAATTCTTATTTGCTCCTTAGATTTGTATTGCTGCGGCTGCAACCATTGCCTAATAATGTAGCAATAAACAGCCATTCCCTTTTTCATCTATTTTCTATTTAGATAAAGGTAAAACTTATTACCCAGCATAGTAGAATCACTTTTTCATTCTAACTGTGCTATTTTCCCATAATAGCCAAGGTTAAATCTGTTTTTATACCCTCTGCTTTGCTTTGCTGGGTTTCAAAATTATGTCATCATCTTCATTCCAAGAATTTAAATTCTTCCTCAAGTACTAATATATATGCATATTCCACAGCTAGGGTGTACAGGGCCAGCATGCAGGCACTGGAGAATTTTCTAGTCAGCAGTATCCACTAGGGTGGCACATGCATCTTGTGCTTCCTCATGCATTCTGTGAGTAAGAGTGGAGCACCAAGGCACACCCAGTTCCTTCTCTACCATGCATAGTACAGTTTGGAGCAACTTCTTCATATTTTTCACCACTTTGGCTTCTAATTAGTTGGCCTCATTATTTTAGTCAAATAGTTTCAGGTGAATATTGCAGGAAGAGGAACCATTTTCCAACAGTTGTGAGTACAGGTTGGACCTCCCTGGTCCAGCACCCTCGCCACCTGGGCAGTCCCAAACTGGGGAGTTTGCCATACCACGGGAGGTCAGTGCTTCCCTGCTAGCTGCCCTACTCTCTGGCTTCTCTCCCTGGGCTCCCAAGGCTGGGGATCCCACCTTGCAGCCCCACTCGTTGCCCCCAGAGTTCCCCTGCATGCTGCCCAGGTGCTGCCAGCCCCACTCAGATGCCATCATCCCTGCTGCCGATGGGGGTTCCCCGGGGCTCTCCAGCCAGTTCTCCCCTGATGCCACCTTGCCCCACAGCCGCCAGGATTTTGCTGGGCCTGCCTGGCACCGCTGACCAGTAACAGGGGGTTCCCCAGCAGGCTCCTGCTCCTGGCCTCTGGGGCTCTTGGGTCCAGCAATATCTGTGACCCTGCTGGACTACAGATGTTGCCGGACCAGAGAGTCCCGGACCCCAGAGGTTCAACCTGTACTATTTGTAGATTTTCACAGCTGCCAAAGGACAGGCAAATAAGGTGCCAGTTTCGCCGCTACGAGGGGAAGGCCCTAGAATGCTATGAAATCAGCAGGTCCTTCTCCAAGCAGACCTAGAACTCCAGGGAGACACACCAGAGGGCATTCCTCATGAAGCAGACAATGAGGCCACACTCCAAACCTGCATTCCAGGCATCTAGGCTGGCAGGGGACATAGCTCATTGAAATTGGCTCTAGCATTAACTTTTCTAACAGGTATAGCAATAGTATCAGAAGGATAGCCAAGTTAGTCTGCAACTTAAAAAAAAAATTAAAAAACAATGAGTGGCCCTGTAGCACCTTGGTGACTAACAAAAATATTGATGGTATCATGAGATTTCATGGTCACAACCCACTTCTTCAGATGAGGTATAGCGATAGCTTGAACTTGGAGCATGAGCTTTTGAAGGATTGATGGATATAGCTCTCCCCAGCTCCAACTTAAAAGCCTCATAAATTTCCATGCTGTCAGGCTTTAAGGATGCCTCAAAACTTTGAAAATGTTTTCTGTGCATTGAAACTAGCACCAGCTGAACAGACCCAGTGGACCTGAGGCTTTCCCCAACATTGTTGCCAGGAGTGTTAGCCTCCTCAGGACTGAGGTAGTCAGAGCAGTAACCAGCTAGTGTGGTACCTGGTACAAGTTGCCTTTGATCCAGGATATGCTGATACTAGGGCCATGAAGCGATTAAAAAATTTAATCGCAATTAATCATGTGTGCTTTCCCTTCGAAACGCCGCCACAGCATTTCAACGGGACAGCACTGCATGGAGCCCAGGAGCAGCTAGAATCCCCAACTGACCCTGGACTCCATGGAGCACTGCCCCTTTGAAGCGCCGTGGTGGCACATCAAAGGGGAGTGCTCAGCTGATCCCAGGCTCCACGTTGCATTGCCCCTTGGAAACACCACCCTGGCACCTCAAAGGGGCAGAACATTAGGAACCTGGGATCAGCTGGAGTCCCCAGCTCACCCCAGGGTCCACTGCCCCTTTGACACACGCAGAGGCGGCATTTCTAAGGGGCGGCTGCTGCACAGCTAATTCCCGTCTCAGCTGTGAGGCTTATTTAGTCTGCAGAAGAGAAGAGTGAGGGGGGATTTGATAGCAGCCTTCAACTTCCTGAAGGGAGGCTCCAAAGAGGATGGAAAAAGGCTGTTCACAGTAGTGACATATGGCAGAACGAGGAGCAATGGTCTCATGTTACAGTGAGGTCTAGGTTGGATATTAGAAAAAACTATTTCACTAGTAGGGTGGAGAAGTACTGGAATGGGTTACCTAGGGAGGTGGTGGAATCTCCATCCCTGGAGGTTTTTAAGTCTCGGCTTGACAAAATCCTGTCTGGGATGATTTAGTTGGGGTTGGTCCTGCTTTGGGCAGGGGCTGGACTTGATGACTTTCTGAGGTCTCTTCCAGCCCTAGGATTCTATGATTCTACTAGAAGGGTGGTTAGGCCCTGGAATGGGTTACTTAGGGAGATGGTAGAATCTCCATCCTTAGAGGTTTTTAAGTCTGGGCTTGACAAAGTTCTTGCTGGGATGATTTAGTTGGGATTGGTCCTGCTTTGGGAGGGGACTGGACTCAATGACCTCCTGAGGTTTCTTCCAGCACTAGGATTTTATGATACATGAATGTCCCCTGAGTGACATAAGTTTTGCCATTTTAGGCTGTAGTGTAGACATAGCCCTAGTCTAGTCAAATTCTTAGAAAAAAATATATTTACTGAAGTAAACCAGGCTTTATTTTTATATGACTTTACAAGCTTTTATATTTTGTTTCTTTAGAATGCCAGATTCACCTGGTGAAGTTCCTGAATATCCTATGTTTGTTTCAGTCGTTGATTGGTTAGACTCAATAAAAATGGGTCAGTATAAAAATAACTTCATGGCAGCTGGTTTCACAACTTTGGATGTGGTTTCAAGAATGAGTATTGAGTAAGTATGTAAAATATTATCTGTTCAGTGGGTAAACTACAATTGCTCAGATTTAACGGTTACATAAGAGCCTATTTAAGTCCTAAAATGCATGGAACAAAAGTATATTTTTACTTTCCTAGTACAGCTAATAAAAGGAAATTTAGACTATCAATCATAAAATGGCAATGAAAGATGATGCTGTGCTTAAGGGACTCAGAAAATCTAGCTTCAATTCCTGGTTCTGCTGCACACTTTTTGTGTGACCATGTGAAATCAGTGAGACTATTCACGTGCATATGTGGGATGTTAAAAGGGGCCTTGATCTGCTCCCATTGAGCCAACTGTAAAATGTACTTTGCTATAAACAAGATCAGGTCCAGGTTGTGTATGCTAATCGTATGTTTTTTGTGTTATGTGCATTGCCAAGTGCACTGTTGGACTTTGTTCTTGATCCAGCTCCACCAAACTTAATTGAAGTTTTGCATCTGACAAAGTGGGTCTTTGCCCTGAAAGCTTATGCTCCAATAAATCTGTTAGTCTACAAGGTGCCACAGGACTTCTTCTTGTAATTGAAGTTTTGTGATTGATTTCAATGGGAGCAGGCACAGTGAATAATAATGACTGTTGTTGGTGGTGTCTAATTTGACATTTTGCAACACTTTGACTAGTCTAGACTGCAAGTTTCTTTCGGACGAAGCTTTTCCAGAAGATATCTTCTGGAAACATTTTTTTCAAAAGAGAACATCTACACAGCAAAAGCGCAACGAAAAAGTGATCTGCTTTTTCAAAAGATAGCATCCACATTGATTGGACGCTGTCTCAGATTTCAGTTGTGATTACTGTGAACAGAGTGGCCACCAGGGCACCTGTGCTTTTTCCTGGAGGCCTCTTCTTTTGAAAAAACACTCTCTTCAGCGTCCATGCATGGCTTTTTCCAAAAAAGCTTTTTCGGAAAAAGACTTCTTCCTCGTAGAAAGAGGTTTTACTGATATCAGAAAAACCCCTCCGTTCTTTCGACTTTCTGTCAAAAAAACGCAATAGCAGTGTGAACGTAAATGTAGTTTTTCTGGGGAAATAGCCGTTTTTCTGGAAAACATGGCAGTGTAGACCTCCCTTTGTGGCACATTATGAATGTGAAGGGAGTTATATAATACTCAATTTTATAATATTAGTGTGACTGTTGAATCACAAAAATCCCCTTAGGATTGTCTGTGTGATCAAGCCACTGATGCCTGCCTTCCTGCTCTCTGGGGCTCCCAATCACCCCTCTTGTGTTGAGCCAGAAGCTCTGGTTTCCCCCAGCGGAGGCTCAGAGTTAGGGTTACCTCCCCCCTGCAGAGCCACACAGACACTGAATCAGCTCATTTCTGGGAGGATTCAGGCAACAAACTCTCAAAAGGGACCAAAACCCCAAATAAATCTGTCTTGCCCCATGTAAAAGTTTTAGACAGAGAAAGCTCATAAAGATGTTGGCCCCTTTATCAATCAGAGAGAGAGAGATTCACAGTGCTTATTCCCTTCCAGGTAGCAATTATTTACCCTGGTCTTGATAATAACCAAAACTGTTTTATTACATATAAAAAGTAGAATTTAAGTGATTGAAAGTGAAAACAGATAGATCAAAATAAGTTATTAAGTTAAATACCAGCTAATTCTAATACACTAAGAAACCTATTACATGCAAATTTTTACACTAAACAGTTGTTCTTATTTCAGGTAAAATGTTTCAAGTCAGAGTTGATCTTTACTCTGGCCTGCGTCTGCAGCTTTTCAGAGTTCTTTAGAGTTCTTTGTTTTCAGGTTTCTTCATGAGTATTCTCATAGGGTGAGGGAGGCAGTTTCAAAGGCAAGCTGAAGACAAAGACCAGATTGCTTTCCATTTCTTAAATAGAATTTTCCCCAAGGTGGGAACTCTTTGTGCAGTGTCCCCACCCATGTGTAAAAAGACAAGATTCAAGATGGATTCTAGTACATGATGGACTGTCCAGGTGTCTTTCTAGAACCAATCACAGTTTGGACTTGCAGGAAAAATATAGCCATTCACACGTCATTGTTTGAATACTGAGCCATTAAGTTAATAAAGTATCCCTAATGGCCCTCAGGAGTATATTTAGATTTAAAACAGATTCACACTTCATATTCCTAACTTCACATACAAGAATAATATATGCACAAAAATAGGATATACAGATTCAGCACACTATAACTTTAAAAATGTTACACATCCTGTTTTGCATAAAGCATCTTTGAGTTATGCATATTTATAAGACAATTTTCATAAAGCGTAGGGGGCCATGACAACTGGTTTTCTGAAAGTTGTATTGTACTTCATATTTTTTTTAATGCTGTTCTTGCCTCTGGAGATTGACACGAGCTACATAAATTACTCCTTTGTCCTAATGTTTAACATTTGGTTTAAACAACTCAGAACTTGTCTACTGTTTGCAGGTTTTTATTGGGTGAAGATTTGTGACCAAATCATAACTAACTTTACTACACTTTTTAATTATTAGCATCTACCAGCTCTTCCCATTTGTCATTAAAGGATCAAAGACAGTCCTTCTCATCCATACATGGTGCTGAATTCTTGGTAGGTTCTGATGGGCAGTGGGTGAAGGTAGGGCTGGGGGAGGCAAGCCCTTAGTGCCACCCCCAGTCCCACTCCTTCCGACTAGGCCACACACCCATCACGGGGAGATGGGGTGGTACTCGGCCCAAGCCTTCCCAGCCCCAGAGCATGGGGAGGGTTGACAGTATAGGACCCAAGCTTCCCCGGCCCCAGAGCATGCCCTGGGGCCAGGTGCCACCCACCTGTCTCGTGATCTGCCTCCCAGCCCCAGAGCATGGGGAGGAAGGAAAGTGGGCAGGCCCATCCTTCCTGGCTTCGGAGCACAGGGAGAGCAAGTGCTTGGGGGCAACAAAACTCCGCCCCCTGAATGCCTACTACAGGCATTCTGGGGATGGAGAATGGGTGGAGCCAGGCAGGCGGTTTGGGAAGACCGGGCCGCCCCCTGCCTACCATATCGGCTGCCCATGGTGCTTCCTACAGTGAAGTAACAGGATACTTCATGGTGTTTCCTTTGCATCTGCCTATTGTAGAAGTAGACTGGGAGAGAAACATAGGCAGAGCTGTTCATTTTCTACAGTGTAACTCTACAACTGTTGGTCTTCGCCTTTCCTCTTCCTCAAGCAGCAAAAGTGCTGCATCAGCTGCACTAGTAAACGTAAAGTGGTTTTGCTTGTCTCTGCAGCTGGGTGACAAAAATTTCTTCCCTCCTCCTATCCTGTGGAGGTTCCTTTTCTCTTCCTGCTTCTCAGACTTGTGTCTAGGGGCTAGGAGAAGGATTTTTGACCCTTCAAGATACAGCAAAAAAACCCTATGCCCTAGCTATGAGATGTGATTTTCTAAATGGTTGCCTATACAAATACAGAATAGGTGGCTGTACCTTTGAATGCCTGCACATTTAGAGCATTTTTGTATATGCTAATCAAGACAGACAAAAATTCTAATCAAGAATTACATTAGTTCTGAGCAATACATGGAAGCAATTAGAATCCTTGACATGCATCCAAGATGAATTTTAACCTTTCTTTATCTTACAGTGACATTAGGAGAATTGGAGTTGTACTCATTGGACATCAGAGACGAATAGTGAGCAGTTTACAGACTTTGCGATTACACATGATGCACATACAGGAGAAAGGATTTCATGTATGAAAGTGCTAGAAGAAACTGTGTTTTGTGCCTCAGCATTTCTAAAATGGAAGATATTCTCATTCCTTCCTTGTGTTTCTCCCAAATTCAAGAACTACAGTCTCCCGTTCAGACTATAAAAACATACTTTTATGTTAATGCTTCCAATGTGGATTTTTAATCACACTGCATAGTTCCTCCTTCAGTTACCTGCCAATAAAATCCCGGCGCACTGCAAGACTGTTGCTACACACTGGTGAATAACTCAGCATGGATGTGTAATTTTGTATAACAGTTTTTGGGAAACTTTCATGGACTTCTTTGAAAGTAATAGCCAATTTGGCCTGGTGTGGCTTCCTTATTGATGTATTTAGAGTTGATGGTAGATCAAAAAGTAATTGACTTTCTTTCATGTTTTGTGATCATGTAGCTTCCAATATCAAATGTGCAATCAGAAAAAAAAAAGTTTGACATAAATATTTATTTTATCTCTTAACTAAATCCAAATGTATGGGTCATATCGTTACCTTACCTTTGTAATAGTTTAAATGCCGGTAAGCTGGTGCTTGAAAATGTTAGAATTCTTTGCAGAAATGACCAGTGATTTCATGTAGTGAATTCTTGTTATGTGTGACTAACTGGG